AACCATGCATATAAGTTAGGCTTGAGCTCTGATAGCCACTAGAAGATTTGTACAGCTGAGATAGCTCATGAGCTATACTAACATTTCAGTACTAATACAGTAGTGAAGGAAGTTTCGTAGATCTACTTCACAGATATTGGTATACAAGATAAAAGTATTCTAACGAAGTACTATTAATTGCATTGTAATTCTGGCTTATTTCACTCTTAAGAATATTCACCCATTCTTCCTCCTAATTTCTATTAAACAGTTTAATGGGTAAAAATGAAATATGCTATTTATCAAGATTACTTTCACCACATAATTCCCCTCATATACAAGTTGCTTTATTTCTTAAATCAATATTTGTAATATAGAAATAAAGCACCACTATTGACAGTGAGATAATTCAGTATGTAAACACTTGATTAAACCTTCTTAAAAGTGAAAAATCTTGTAATTAATTTAACATTTGTACTAAAGAAGGTAAATTGTGTTGTCCTTTGTGAATGTGTATATTGTACTGTTGTTGATTATTTTATTTACTTTTTTTTTAATACAAGATATGCTTCTAGACTAGTCCATGAAGTGTGGTCTTGCATATGTGGGCCAAACTTACAATATTGAAGAAATAATACGAAGGAAATAGTTCACCATTCAAATAATATTAAGCTGTAGGGTGTTGTAAATATTTATTGTATTTGTGCTTGGTCCTGCCTTCTCTGTAACAGTTGGTTTCCTATTGCTTCTTTCAGGTCTTATATTTGTAGTTGACAGTAATGACAGGGAACGTATTGGAGAAGCTAGGGAAGAATTAATGAGGATGTTGAATGAAGATGAACTAAGAGATGCTGTTCTCCTTATTTTTGCTAATAAACAGGTATATTAATATTGTTTGTAGATAAAGAACAACAATGTAGAAATTGAATAAGATTTCTCTGCATGCTTCACCAGATGTAAATCTTATAATTTAAACAGAATTTAATTGAACATTTAAATGTTAGATAACTTTCAAAGAACTCATTTATTTAACCCTCTTTGCCCAGGCATCATTTACTGCACATGTCACAAGGTTTTTATAACTTGCATTCAAAAAGTTTATTAAACTACATTTTGTATGTGTTATACCAATGAGTATAGTTTAAAACTGTAGCTAATAATCCATAAATTAATAATATATATGTTTTAAGTTCTTAATTTTATAAGGCATATTATGATTTAAAAAAATCCTGAATTTCCCCTAATATGACATTTTTTTGCTCTGGGCATCCCCTCTTCTGTATTTTATTCACTACCTTTCCAATAAGTACGAAATTTAACCCTTTCAAGGTGGGTCACACGTGAAAGGCCACGTCATTTCGTATGTTGACTCTCATTCAAAATTTTATTGAACCACTATTTCATGAATTTATGTCAATAAGTTTGGTTTTCTCAGCCTTCCTTTCTATTAAACCAAATTTTCAATGAAGTACGTTGTCTTTAGTCTGTTTGAAATTTATATATAGACCCAAATACAGCTCAGTTACTAAGCTTGATAAATTATAGTAAAATTCTATGGTATTGATGTAGTGATTTGTTTTTTTAGTTATTTAAATGTATATATAAAACCTAAAAAAAATATTTTGTTTCATATCCTCCACATGCAAAATTTATAGAGGCTTAGCAACCAAGTACAATGGTCGTAACTAGAAGAGATAATTGCTTGCTTTACTTCTCTATTTACTGTTCTATGTTTTAGGGAAAATAACTAAGAACTTATTTCAAAATAGCAATAATTTATTTATATATATATATATATAATGTATAATAACTGAAATATGACTGTATTTTACAAAATACTAGTCTATTAAAACACGGCCAAGACAAGTTACTTTGTACAGACCAAAGGCCAGTTTTATGTTATTTGATACGGTAACATGAGTGCATGTGAGCCGTGTCATTGTAACTTCTGTATTGTCAGCCAGGCATGGCTGAAAAGTCAATAATAATAAAAAA